AACCCCTAACCCCTAACCCCTAAACCCTAAACCCTAAACCCTAAACCCTAAACCCTAAACCCTAAACCCTAAACCCTAAACCCTAAACCCTAAACCCTAAACCCTAAACCCTAAACCCTAAACCCTAAACCCTAAACCCTAAAAATAAAATTAAAGAAAAAAAAGTTCTTAGAAATTATTAAACTTTGAAAGGCTAACTTTTTACTTACTTAACTACTGAAAAAGATAACGTAGGTGGATCATAAGTTTTAAAAACTGAAGGTTAAATCTATATTGTAAGAAAGGTTGAAAATGTTTTAGTGAAAACAAGTAAGCAAAATGAAATATAAAACATGCAAAAAAATGAAGAACGCAAATATTGATATTCGTATATATTAAATGGGTTCAGCCCAACGACTTCAGATGCATCTATCGTCTAACGGGCCTGAGTAATAAATGAAAATATGGGCTAAGGCTTATTATTTCAAAATCTAAACAGAGTGTTAACTTGTATAATCAGGCCTAAGTAACAATAAACCTAATTATTTCAAAACGTATGTATGTATATGTTTATTGGGCTATTGGATTTATTTTAAATTCTAGATAATAGTAAAAGCCCAAGTAGCAAACTTAATATTTCAAAATGTATGTATATGTTTATTGGGCTATCAGATTGATTTTAGATTCTAGATAATAGTAAAAGCCCAAGTAGCAAACCTAATATTTCAAAATGTATGTATATGTTTATTGGGCTATCAGATTGATTTTAAATTCTAGATAATAGTAAAAACCCAAGTAACAAACCTAATATTTCAAAATTGGGCTGATCCCATCGACAACTGCTATCTAGAAAACCCAAAAAGATGTATTTCGTAAAACAAGAAACACGTACCAGAATTTAAACGATGATAGGTTAAAACCAAACTCTATAATCTTGATGCGCCTGAATCTTTGAAAATCTACACAGAACTGCACCACGTCACTTTCTTATTTTTCGATGAATAATCAGAAACTGAACAACTCTAAGTTATGTACACATGTAAGAAAGACGACGCGAGTGCAAACAAGATTCAAAAAACCCTTTTTTGTTTTCGAAAAAGCAAGAAACGAAATATACGAATCTAAAAGAAAATAGGTTAAAAGCAATTTTTATGAATAAAATACTGTAATCATGTAAAGATCTGTCGAGAGGAGAAATTACCTGCGTTTTGACGAATGAGGCATCTACTCGAATCGCGGAAGGTGGGTGATGTCAATGGTTGAAGACGACGCAACTGCAAACTAGAAACAAAAACCCAAAAAAAGTTGTATTTAAAAAGGTTAAATGCAATTTCTACAATCAATTATTGTAATCATGTGACGAACATCTGTTGAGAGAAGAAATTATCTGCGTTTTGATTCTCCTCTAATCGCGAAAGGTGGGTGATGTCAATGGTTGAAGACTTGAAGCCGAACGGAGGAGAAGGGAATCGGTGATCGTCATCAAATATATAGCCGTTCTGTTTTTCCCTTTTTTTCACATGCCCATGTGCAAAATAACCGCTTAGTCCCTATTTCCGTAATTTCAATTTTTATGTCTTGAAAATTCAAAAAAAATCATATGACAAAAACAATCTCAGGTTAATTATGTGTACGTGTTGATGAAAGTTGAGATTTTTGCTTTGGCAGAAGAAAACGATTCCAAGTTCTGAGTCCAGTCCTGTATTAATATAAATGTCCATTTATTTTTACAATACTATCTTGACCGTTCACGTGTAAGGAAATCCTAATATGAAAAAGATTATATCAACTTTAAATCATAAACGCAGGCAGAGAAGAACACATACTGCGTTTGTCTCAATAATATAGAAAAAGGTTTTGGACGATCTTACCTCAACATAGAGAAGAACTTGTTGCAAAACAGATACATCCAATGATTCAATGTAAACTTCCACGAAGTCTGTTGGTTCCAGACCTGACTTCTTTAGTTTTTGGACCCTATTGGCAATCTATATATAACACAGGGAAAGCACAGCATCGGAAAGTTGATTAGATACAGAAAAAGAAAAGGGTACACATTCCATCGATTATTATATAACAACATTCTATTTTACCTCACGAGCAACACCTGCTTCATACAACGAATCATCAGGTCGTAGATCCAAAAGCACCAAAACATCACCTTCATCATTAACCAAAGCAAAAGTTATATATCATTAACAGTAGAGCGAGCACCAGTAATCAGATCAAAGATGTAAATAAAAGAAATAGACAAGGTAACTAATCACGTACCATCTCCATTTGCATCAATCTCCGTATCTTTCAAACCATCCGGGCGTTTGAAAACCCTGACAATCTGAACAACACATGGAGGTAATCCTAGTCACTTGTAAACTAATGTTGTCTTGTAGAAAGAGGTGGTTTGTTGATCTTACGTTGATAAATAATGATGAGTTTGAGAAGATGAAGTAGAAGAAGCCAGAAAACCTCAGGCTAGACTTTTCGGTGAGCAGAGAGCAGACTAACGAGAAGGGAGAGAAAATGTATATACAGACAAGAATGGCAGAGTATGCAGAAGAGAGCGTTGGGAATTACTAAAGAAAAACAAAACCTTTGTTTACATGTGTGGTTTCAAGGGTATTGATGAGATCACGGTCTTACTTGCTGCTAAAGATGGTAAGTAAGGCACTTTCAATTCATTTCATTATTTTTTTGGGAACCACCCTGGTTACTGCTGCACATGGTCTTAACAAACTAGGGGATTTCTGAACAGGAATCGATTGGTTGGAGTACGAGAAGCAATTGAAGAGGAGTGAGCAGTTGAATGTGGAAGTCTACTAAGGAAGAAAGCTTGAGAGGTGTTTATTACTAGTATGTAGATAAAGCTGATCAGATGCTATTGGCAATTCTTCATTTTCTTTTGTTCTTGGGATTATTACGACCAGCATATTTACTCTTTCTCGCTTCCTTATTCATCTTGTTATACTTCTTGCAAACATTATAGTGTGTGTTTCTCATTGCTACGGATGTTAAATAAAATTACTGTATTGATTAATTAATCCATGTGTTCCTCATAATAAACACAGCTTTTATTTGATAACACAACAACACACTTAACATTCTAAATATGACATACATTATTAAGTAACAGTTTGCATTATACTTTGTTTTAATAAAAGAAGATGAATCCCTTATTAGTTTGCAGATTGCTGCTGCTCCTTGTTGATGGGAAAGCTCTGATCCACCCAAGCCATGTACCCACCTCCTATGTTTCTCACTTTCTTGTAACCCTAATTTTTAACATTCAATATACTCTGAATGATGCTTTTTCTTTATTTCTTAAACACAATAAATAATCCAAGTGTGTGTGTATTATTATTGACTTAGTTGTATATAAATCAAATTAATCCGGTGTTGACTTACTGCAGCAACAAGCTCACTTGTGGCATTTAAGGATCTGGCTCCACTCTGACAACCCTGCATGTATCATATTGCATGATTAACATAAAGTGTTTCACTGTCCATTTGATTTAACCATTACTCCCGATCATACAGTTTTGACCTTTCATGGACAAAGAGTTACTAAAGAACAAAAAACAAAGAGACTTTTTCATTTATACGGGTGTGATGAGGAAGAATAGAGTTATTACCACAAGAATATCATCAGTTGAGCTGAGAAGAGAAGATACTTGGTCCAAAAAATTTGGATTCTTCACTCTCCCTAGTGTATCACACAGATATTGATGGTCTTTATATATACATCTAATTTGGATAATAACTCAAATTGATTTTGATTACCTTGAGGTGTGTTGAGCATGTAGGGAACGTTGAGGATCTTAGGTACTAGACAATGGCCTCTCTTGAACTCTTCCTCGGTCCTGCATGTGCAAGAAAATAACAACTTGTATTGGTTACTTGCACATAGTGATGAATGGGACAATTGAGCGCACCTAACATCAAGATATTGATGGTCGGACTGGAGGAGAGTCTTGGCTTGGCTCACATCAACAGTAACAACTTCTTCTGGCTTTGATGAAAACATCTTCTCAATAACAAAGAAAAACAAAAAGAAGAAGATGATGAAAGCTTAGGAAGAGAGCGATGGTAATAAATAACCCGCAAAGAACACCATTCACAGATAATGTTATTTATTGGTAAACTATTATTAATTTTTCCTCTCTTTTTTCCCATTTATACATACGCAGTATGGTCAATTTAAAATATTATATATGGTATATGATTTAGCCATTACAAAATTGTAGCGTATGAGATCTAGAATAAAGAACATAAAGATAAGTCTAACAGATATTGGACAGCTAGGTAAAGGCCATATAGAAAACGTGTTCACTTCTCACTAATTGAAAATAATGGAAAGAAATTAGCGTGAAATATTGACATGCAAGTAAAAGTAATATTCCTAATTTGGTGACCATAATTTTAACCAAAAAAAAAAAACAAATTAAACACAAGTTTCTCATGTGGCTCATCACAGATTTCAGTGGAAACAATCTTGTCGATGAAAACAAGGATGGAACTGCGAAACTAACGATTCCATGAAGGAGTCATTGTATTGGGTGTTACGTTAGGTAAGGGATGAGGACGATGACGTCTCTCCTTCCTCTCTTTATTTGTTAATATCACAATAAAAATCAAAAGCCACGTTCCATTCCACCATGTATGGGATTTCGGATTCAATATTTTAAAACTATAATAAACTTCGGGGCAAGTGATTCATCATCAAATATAACATAAAAGATTGACCTGGATCTTGAACCTCATCATTAGCTTTTCCAACTCATAGGGGAAAGAGACACAGACAATCCAAAAAACATTGCTTCTATCTATTTGGTTGCCATTTATGTACAAACACACACACACACACACACCAGAAGGCAGTCTTAACTCAAAAAACAAGAACTGATATATCATATTCGCAAATAAAAGATCAACGAAACAACAACACTCACATACACACAAATGATCATTTAAGCTAGAATGACTCCTGAGCTTTATGTACATATAAAAATAATGTACACATGTAAAGAACAACAATCAGGCAAGCAAAGCAGCATGATTCCCCATTCAATAGCACTGGGAACATCAGATGGATGGATGCAAACCTGGGCGTGATCCACAGAACCCGAGCACTGGTCTTACGCGAATCTTAAAGGCTTTGACTGGATTGAGCAAAGGTAAATCCACCAGTACTTGTACCTGTTCTTGACCTATCTCGTTTAAGTACCTGCCACAACACATACAGAAAAAAAGAGAGGACAAAATAAGTAGCCAGGGATTTGAAAAAATACATAAGGAGAGGTTTCACTAACTCTCATGGGCTGACCTCGGATGACATAGTGTCAGTTCTTATATCATCATGCTTGCACACGGGGCAGGATGTACCCCATTTTGTCAACCAAGAGTCGATGCAACTCAAGTGAAAAGCTGCACAAGTGGTTAAAGTGAGGAAAGCTAACAGAAACTCAAGAAAAGCAGAGAGAGCGGTCATTAATTACCATGTTGGCAGGGAAGTAGCCTGAGAGACTCTGCAAATCTATAATCCTCGAGGCATATGGCACATGTATCTCCGTGAAGAGAATCAGTGAAGGTGAAGGTGGGGAGGGTGCGGACGAGGGTAGGATCTAGTGTGATGGTGCGGTTGTGCCTGGCTCGCCAGTGTCGGGGAGCAAAGAAGGCAAGCAAGAGGAAGGTAATGATAAGAAGGAGAGAGAAGAAAGAGATGGCGAGGACAGTCCAAGCAGTGCCCTTGGTGGGGGGATAAATGCAGCATTCACCCTCTCGGCCTCTAGCATACTTGCTCAAGAGGTTACCGGCAACATTTGAAACGAAGACTGCAGCAGCAAGTGTAATGTCCTGAGTGTTCACCTTCACTGTGCAAAAACAAGAAGATCTTTCGAGGTTGATAAACGCGTTGACTAAAACCATCTTTTAAAAAAAAAAAAAAAGAAGCTTGTTCGAAATTACTAATGACGAGATCTTGGTTGTCAAAGTTGTCATAGACAATCACAGCTTGAAAACCGGAGTCCTGGGCATGGAGCAGCTTATCCTCGAAAGAACATCCGCCTCTGATAATCAGAGCCAACTTAGTAGTTCTCTGTTGAGTCCAGTTAGATGCGAGCAGAAGCGGAGAGCAACCGTCGCGAGGATCTGCCACGAACAGAGCTCCACATATTCCGTTTCTCGGGACCGAGCCCTCTACGAAGAATTTGAAGAGAAAAACACAGAATAATCAGATCAGAGCCAGATTCTTAGACATTTCAAACTAAAGAGAGATTGACCTACCAAATTTGGCGGGGAGATTAGGAAAAGAGGCGGAGATAGAATTGAGTACGACGGTGGCAGCCGATAATTGTATAATAAAAGGAGCTGCTAGTATACATACAATTACGTCTCTCATCTCTCTCGGCCCCCGTCGTCGTGGTGGATCGATTCGATGCCTTTTCCGTTTCAGGCCGTCGCCAACACGTCTTTGCCTTCTTCACCCGAACCCTCTGCTCCCGTCAGAGGGGGCCTTTAACTTTAAAAAATAATTTAAAAACCTCTTAATCCTCCTTAATTAATAATAATTTCATAAACTATTATTCTTTATAAATGGTTTTATAAAATGTTTTGAACTTTAATATATGCTATAATATCTATTATTGATGATTTAAAATCCTTGTAAATGATCTATAACGTTTAAGTATAAACTCTAATACATGATTTTCTAAACAAATATAAATGTATTATGAATCCATATAAATGACTTTTATTTTTTTTACAAATGATATATCATTGTCATAAAATGATTTTAAAATCTAATGATATTATAATTTATAATATATTAATAGTTATTATAATGTTTTTAGTGTTTTTTGATATAGTGGCCATTGATTATAGTACCTTACCAAATGTCATTTTGAGACCCAAACCGTGGCCTAATTACAGATGGCATTTTTTCGGTTATCATGGATAGATCAAGGAAGCTAGAGTAGTGGAGGCTGATCAAGGAAAGCAAGACAACAAACAGAGGAGCTTTCCTCATACCTCAAAGTGTCATAAAAGGTGTTTTTTTCGCAATCTTATGTTGCAAATGTTCCACCTATGTGACTCAAAAAAACTTTGGACAATGAGGAAACTTTACCCTCTTCTTAGTTGTCCCCAAGGCTTGGAAAATGGATTTATTTTTGGGGCTCTTTAGTGGTGGTTTTTGTTGACCCAAGGACTTTCTCTGTAGCAAGGGGTGTAGTTTAGAGCTGATAACTAGACTGGAGGTGGGGGACTAATGGGATGTTGATGTTAGTCTTTGGAAGTATGTTTGTATCAAACGTTTAAAAGTGCATTAATCTAACAGATGACAAATATATATATAATGTATAACTAATTTGCAACTGGCTTTATGGAATGTGTACACACTAGTGAGATTCTAAGAATATATATATAAGGGATGTCTCTCTGTTCTTGTAAACACACTCACGAATCAGATTGCCTTGTAAGGGGTCTAAATACATTTTTTAAGAGTAGCAGAAACAGAGGAAAAACGTGAGATGCAATTGCTAATCTCAGAGGAAAACAACTTCAGAAAAACTTCTTTGGCATTGTATCTCTCTCCAAAGATTCCGTAGCACTATTTAATTGGAAGCATCCCAAGTAATATATGTATATATGCAGTTGAGAGAGATCAACATGTTGATGGGAGAAGTTATGGAAGAGGGCCGAGTCTGGTCTGCTATAGTCTTGTAGTCCTCTGGAACGCATTGCTTCTGCTATACTCTGTTTAGGTAAATGGCTTTTCTCAATCAGTCTATTCACGGCGTCTCACCTTTCTCCCATTACTTATACATCTCTTCACCTCTTTCTTCTTCTGTTTCTCCCTTTTAATTTCAGTGGAACTTATTGATAGACACATATTTATACCCTTGTGATACTTAAAGAGTGTAAATTGCACACACACACAAAAAGAGAGGACATGAACATGATGGTCGTCTAAATGAGCTAGGAATTGATCACATGATGGTGCAAGCGTTGGGATTGTCATCACTAAAGGCAGAGGTGTATTTGACCTCGAAGGAGCTGGCACGAGCAAGGGGGGCCACAAGAGGGTCGGCGAGTGCATTGCGAACATAGCCAGGAGGGGCTTTCTTGTCATAGGCACCAGGTGCGTAAGGGTGTGGCACCACCTCGTAAGGCACGTAGGGCCACAGCTCCGCCTTCTTCCCCGTCCGATGCATCACCCGTCTCACCACTTTGTTGGGTTGGACGAATCCCTCGACCGTTAGTTTGCTCTGTTTAGGATCCACGGTGACATTGGTAACTCCTTTCATGCTTTCCACCGACTTCCTCACCCGTCTTTCGCACCCTTCACAGTCCATCTTCACTTTTATCTCCACCTTCTTTTTGTTGTTGTTGTCCACATGGTAACATACACAAACACACACTCTTAATTTACTACATATCGTAAAAAAAGAAAAAGAAAAAAAAAGAAGAGGCACAGAGTATGTTATATAAAGAGAAGAGTGCCTGGAACTGCTTGAGTTTTCTCTGGCGGCGTTCTCGGTAACAGAGGTCTAAGCAACCCATCAACGCCGATTAGTTTACCTTTGTTGTTTTTTTTTTGGTTTCTCTTTTCAGACCGTAGACAGATCTAGAAGAACGTCGAGCATATATACATAAGCAGCGAGACAAGGTACCCACTTTGCACGTGTACAATTGAGAGAACTGACAGCTGTTTCATTGTAGAGCTTTCTAGTTGTGCGGGCAAACTAAGCATTTTATCCGCCTATCTGGAGGTAGAAGCTTCCTTCCTGCCTAGCGGATTTTGACTTTTGTAACAGGAATTATCAACCATTCATAATAAAAGAAAACAGCGGAGGGTAGCATATTGGAGATGTGTATCTTAAGAGAGCAGAGTTCAACAGGAATCTTTAAACACAATTTTTTTTTCTCACTGACCATGAAACCCTAGATAACAGTGCATGATCTTCAACCAGACGACCAGTTTCTTATATTTGCATCAGATGGGCTATGGGTGCAGCTGAGCAACTAGGAGGCATTCAGAACCATCCGAGAGAAATGTATGGGAACACAATCCAATTTTCAGTTACCTCCACATATAATCATCAAAGTGAGAATGCTGATACAGGGGATAGCAAAGAGACTAGTGTAAGTGGCAAAGAAAAGAGAGATGAGATACTCTGATCTCAACAAGATAGAGGAAAGAGGTGTCAGAAGGAATTTCCACGACGACATTACTGTGGTCCTTCTCTTCCTGGACACCAATCTTCTCAGCAGAGCCTCTTCTCGCAAAACTCCCTGTGTTTCTATACGTGGTGGTGGCAACTCTAAAACCAGGTTCCTTCCAACTTGTAGTTATAATATGATTTGCATTCTCTGTTTTACAAGTATATCCTTTTGGCTTTTGGTTCACTGCTATAGTAAAAGAAAAAACTTATAATGTTCAAAGAACATTTTCCACAAAAATGATCTGAATGGAGCTATTCCAGTTTGTGTTCCAAGCTAAGGAAACGGAAAACAAACAAGTAATCACTATACTTGAGGTCATTATGTTATATGATAATACCATGATAATGGTGGATTTAGGTCTTTAGGCATAAGCAATTAAGCATTTCCTTCCCAACAGGTTCAGTGATCTTTGCCTCATCACCCGGCTTCAACTCACCTGAACTATAAATCAAACTTCAGCTCCAACTGAAGTTTTTTACTACGGTCTCTCATACACTGTTTTATCATGCTTTTTAATGTTCAATTGTTCTCTTTTAGTTTTATGATAGAGAGCAGTTGGAGCTGTTTCTTAATGATTTTGGCATTATCTTACCGATTACTGTTGTCTTTGTCGTAGTCTAGCAACCGTAGTATCTAGCTATCTGTTAAGCACACAAAAGACGATTATTACTTTGCTTACACAACAGGTAGCATTGTTCTCTTGACTATAATATGGTCAAATATCAACCAAGTAAAAACTTCAAACCATAGACGTACGCAATTGTTTTGCTAGCTTGCTGTTGATGTTATAATCTCTCCGTTCATTATTTTATTAATACGTCCAAACATCTTCTCGGTTTGGTATATGATTTGACTAACTGCAAATTTTTAATATTAGTTGCATATATATAAAGTGATCATCATCGACGGTGAATACAATACGTACAACTCTCAACAAATATCTCCTATTCAAACCAATCCTTAAAGAATAATGCATCCATCTAACCCAATATCTAAGATTAGTTACCAACTCCAACGCCTTTCTTAAAAATTTCCACAAAGTCTACTCTATAAATGATGAAACCCATTCATTCTATCACAAGGAAAATCGTCCAGGTTATAAGAAACCGATCTAGTCAAACCCCAATTACGAGTACCAATCAAGTAAAAGAGGCCCCCAAAAATGGCTGTATCACTTAAAATTCTTATCGTAGCCCTCTCCCTCATCGCCCTCTCTCCTCTTTGTTTAAGTTCCAAAGCCTATGAAAGTAGCGGCTATCTCTTCCCTCAGTTTTACGACCACTCATGTCCTAAAGCTCAAGAGATTGTTCAGTCAATTGTCGCTAAAGCATTTGCACACGATCCTCGCATGCCCGCCTCCTTGCTCAGACTCCATTTCCACGACTGTTTCGTGAAGGTCGGATCAACCTTAGTGACTTCTCAACCTTAGTTTACCATGGAAAAATCTTTATATATATATTTGTTTTCTCTTGTACTTGTACTGCAGGGATGTGATGCTTCCATACTATTGGACAACAGTGGAACCATAATCAGCGAGAAACGATCAAACCCTAACCGAAACTCAGCCCGTGGTTTCGAGGTCATCGAAGAGATCAAGCATGCCTTAGAACAAGAGTGTCCTGAAACAGTGTCTTGCGCTGATATTTTGACTTTAGCCGCTAGAGACTCAACCGTCATTGTAAGTCAAAACAACAAAGTATTTGTATTTTACTAATCAGAAAAAAGAAATTAGCTAGTTCAACACATGGTCATATGTTGTTGATACAGACAGGTGGACCGAGTTGGGAAGTGCCTCTAGGAAGAAGAGACGCGAGAGGAGCAAGCTTGAGTGGTTCCAACAATGATATTCCTGCTCCCAACAACACTTTTCAAACTATCCTCACTAAGTTCAAGCGTCAAGGCCTTAATCTCGTCGATCTTGTCTCACTCTCTGGTATTAATTAATTACACTATTCAATGGTAACAACTTGCCTATATATATATGTATATATACCCTAAAAACCGTTGGAAAACTCCCCATAATTTTAATCCGTCTTTTAATTTTGTTTCTTAACTGTTTGTTACATAAAGTAACTGGTTTATGAAGTGGATGCTGAAGGGCTTATAAAACGTTACACCAGCTTTGCTAAATTTAGAATAATAAAATCGTTTAGAAAGCCCCATTAAAGTGCTTTGCTGATTAAGTTCATCAGTTGTAATATGTGGAAGGGGTTTTGTTTTGCATGATATGCAGGAAGTCACACCATCGGAAACTCGAGGTGCACAAGTTTCCGGCAGAGGTTATACAACCAGCCTGGCAACGGTAAACCTGATCTAACCCTAAACCAATATTACGCATCCGTGCTGCGCAAGCAATGTCCAAGGTCTGGCGGTGACCAAAAACTCTTCTTCCTCGACTTCGTGACACCCTTCAAGTTCGACAACCACTACTTCAAGAGCCTGATCATGTACAAAGGGCTATTGAGCTCTGACGAGGTTTTGTTCACGAAGAACAGAGAGTCCAAGGAGCTGGTGAAGCTCTATGCTGAGAATCAAGCGGCCTTCTTTGAGCAGTTCGCGAAATCGATGGTGAAGATGGGGAATATCTCTCCGTTGACGGGGGCGAGGGGAGAGATCAGGAGAATCTGTAGGAGGGTTAACCATGCACCTTATTAATCAAACCCTTATATATGGTTTACTTTCATGCATTTGTTTGGCATGGACGAGGTGTCATCTATTTCTTTTTCCTTTTGCTTGTATGAATGTGTGCTCTGTTTCGAGTGTATTTGCAGATTTACTTTGGTGATTGCTTGATTTTCACGACTCTAATAAGTTTCAAGGTGCACTATGTATGATCAAATGCTTTTGATCAGTTTAAAATTATTGGGGCGCTTTTGGTAACAAAAGTAAAGTAAGGGTGGGATTTTAAGAATTGAGGGTAGGTCTTATCGGAGAGTAAACGGGCCTCGGGAACTTTTATTGAAAGTAGCTTGGAATTTGGGCCTTAGCCTAGAAAGAACACCAACGGCAAAACCGGTATTGTCCCTGGTCTTGTACTTGTTAGTTACTACTATCCTCACTTTTCTCCTCTCCTATAAACAGCTTTTATTTTATATTTAGTTTCATCAGCAAGTTTCTCATGGTGCAATTCAGGTCACAGGAACTCCATAAAGTCATTGTGGATTTCAAAGAAAGGAGAAGAAAACTGATAATTTATTGGTACGAAGGAACTTCTTCTCCCTCTTAGGCTTGGGCCTAGCATCAATAATCGTGTAGTAGGAGATCCAGTGGTAAGGAATGGAAAAAGATGCCAGCTTGGTTGAACAGAGAAAGCAAATGTAATAACTCAGAATGAGAGAGCTTGGATGGTCTCTTGTCTTCGAACCCATTCGACTTGAGAATTTCGATCACCCTTTCCTTGAACACACTTGCATCTGTATCCAAACACAAGACTTGGTTTTCCCCTTGGTCAAAACTGGCATTCCTAGTAATTCCAACTTGGGACAAACTCAGCAACTCCATGACCTTCTTCTTCTGCCTAAACATGGAACCAAGGGTCTTATTCTTGTTCCCGAAACAGGCGCGAGTGAAGGACAGCCATTCTTGAACATTAACATCAGGTTTGACCTCTTTGGGTGTGATCATAACAACAGATGAATCCACTTTAGGGGGCGGGACAAACTCTCTTTTGCTCACATCCATAACGAATTTGACATCAGCCAGGAGCCTCACATTCATAGCCAATCTGTTGAAATCAGAATCACCAGGGTTAGCCAAGAGGCGGCGGGAGAATTCCTTCTGAAGCAAGAGAGTGGCGCTGCGGAAGGAGTTGGAGCCGTAGACAAGCTTCGCCACGAGAGGGGAAGATATGTTGTATGGAATATTAGCAACCACGAGATCGAACTCAGGGAAATCTGTCTTGAGGACATCTTTCTGAATTATCTAAAATATTAGAAAACAAACAGCTTAGTTCTCTCTCTCTCTTTCTCTTTTTGGTCATTTCATCGAACAGGTTGTGTGCGCTTAAAGAGCTAAACTCCAAAAACAACAATTGGTAAATACAGAATGAATTACCGTAAGTTTATGTAGAAAACCATGGCCAGAAACCCTAGTGCGGAGAATGTCAACCATACGCTTATCAAGCTCGACGGCGACGACATGGTTGGCAGCTTGTAGAAGTTTCATGGTGAGATTGCCAGTACCAGGACCGATCTCCAAGACGGTGTCGGTGGGCCTGACATGGGAGCTTCGGACGATGGAATCGAGGACTCTGGTGTTGGTAAGAAGGTGCTGCCCTTTGCTCTTTTGCAGATACAACCCATCGTGTTGCTTCTTCTCCACGACTTGCCCATTACTCCGAATCTGCGAGTGAGAAGAATTTCGTCGTAATACTAGTAAGCACCAGCTACTTCTTGATTTGATACTACTACTTTTCTGAATCATCATCACTAGCTCTCTTTCGGTCGGTGTTAACATAATGTCTGCCTTGTAGTTCGCTTTTATTTATAACGAACAAATAACCAAACCTTATATTTTTTTTAAAAAAGAAAAATTAACAGAGGATGAAGTAATCGTGCAGCCTTTATTATTATTATTCTCAAAGAGAGCTCAGGACGAAATTAATGGTTGAATGATACTACAACGACATGTCCCTTCTTTATTATGATCGTCTTCATCTTCTGTTGCTCCTGAATAAACAAAGCCTTGTTGCTGTTGGCGGCTGACAATTAGGGCTTGCCTCTCCCAACTCTTTCCCATCACAACCAAGTAGAGTCCACTAATGATTAGTATTGCCCCAATTAATCTGACATACCAAAAACAATACACTAGTATATATGTTATGAACAAAAATATAGGTTTCTGATTTATTATTGAGTAGATACGTACCCTCCAAGGTAGAAGTGTTCACCAAGAGCAAAGGTGGCTAAAACAGCAGCTACTAGTGTTTGTAGTGGCAAGTAAGCTGATACAAACAGTGGTCCTCCTCTCTCCACCACATATATTTGTATTGCAAACACCATCGCTGATCCCACCACTCCCTGACACACAGATTTTATTCAACCCTTATAATTAATATGTTAAGAACAAAAAAATAATCTTAATCTTTAAGATTAAAAAAAAAACACACACACATACTGTGTATAACAACGCATACACTTCCCCTCCTGATATTATCTTCCAGCTCTCCATATCTCTCTCAAAATAAGCAGAGATGCCAAAGAACTGGAATACTGCGAAAAGGCAAGCGTAGGAGACGAAGGAGAAACGAGCAGGGTATTTCTTAAGCAATGGTGATTGCAACACAATCCAGCTTGACCAGCATAAGCAGTGACCCATCAAGCACAGACATCCCAACGTCCAGTTCTTGTTTTCTACCTCTGCTTCTCCACCATTCTTGGATTGCTCCATTAAACGCAGGCTCGGTTCGTAAATGGTTGGCCCTTTATATAGAGTTATGACCAAAGAACCCGCAACCGATACAAATGTGCCCACCACTTTGGCTATACCATCTCTCCTCTTCAACTCTACCTTCTCTATTCTACAATGGCGCGTGTGTGTGTATGCCTCAAGTATTAATAAGTGAAAGTGAGATTTTTTACCAAGAATCAAGAGAGATACCCAAGCAAGGCGGCCATGAGGAATGAAACAGCAGGAACAGCATTCTCAGTTGCTGATGCGAATGTTGGTGAGGTATTGTCCAATCCAAAGATATAAAATCCTTGGTTTAATGTTATGCTACATATTATATATAAACATCCATCAAAACAAATCATATCAAGGTTTTAAGAGATAGATCGTACCCGACTAGTCCTAGAAGGAAAAACTGAATTAGTAAACTGGTGTTCATCGCCGGCCTTTCCTTTCTGTTTACCAATAGACAAATAATACATAAACTGGAATAAATATATAAATAAAGATTGGTTTGACTTTTTTATAAGAGAAAAAAAAAGAAGAAGTGTAGACTACTTTTCAAGGAAGTAAGCAGAGGGAGCGAGAACAGAGAGAGCGATGATGGTCCGGTAAAGTGGGAAGACGAGTTTGCTTACTCCCAAGTTTAGAGCAAATCTCATGATCACGTGGTTCCCTGCGTATCCCGTCTGAAACACCACCATCGCTACGTGAAGCTTTGCTCTTGCTGCTATCGGAGACATCTTTCTCCGACCAATTAGCTAGAAAGAAACCAACAGCGTCAAAGACGACGGAGAGATCTGTCTTTCTTTCTTTCTTTCTTCTTTTTAAATTGTCTCTTGTCGCCACTTTCTTCAACGACAAAACTGAGATAAAGACTGTCATGTGCAGGTTCTTCACGTGAGATGCCAACAACGTATCGTTTGACCTCTTACTGTGGAAACGGCAGGCAGTTTATCCAGCAAACATTTTATAACAGTTAATCGACGTATGTTTCTCTAAGTGGAAGTAGATTTGTAAGACTCGATGATACCAAGATCATTAAGACTCTTTTCAGATCCCAACTTGAAGATTAATTAGCTCTATGAAAGCTCACATTTACAGATGCTTAAAACGCTGTTATTTTTCTTTTTCTTTGAATTATATAGAAGTATCCTGGTTCCATAGAAGTGGTCTAGACTAATCACGTGTTGCCATATGTCGGTCTTCACGTGATACCAAAATATTAATTCTCTAATGATCGGGGTTCGAGTCCAGGTGACGGTACTCACAATCAGGGGCGGATCTAGAGATGAATACGGGAGGCATTATCAAAATTGTATAAAGAATCAACTGTGGCATGAAGAACACTATCTAAATTTTACATAGAATTTTTAAAAATCATTTGGGGCAGATGTCCCACCCTTTGATCATGTGACTCCATCACTGCTCACAACTGTATTCCTTTACTAATAGAGATAGAAGCTCCGGTTAAAAAAAATGATGTTATTGGCTTTATCTCTGAAACAAAAGAAAGAGCCCATCGTATCTCTTGTACTTTTACAGCTTCCATGCCAACTTTTTACAAAAATAAGTGATTATGTAATTCATTAATGAACTAATCTTGCTTTCTTGTTTCGAAAACTAAGAGCAACAACATCAATGAACACCTTTTTCATTATTTTATTATTATTTTTTTCGTTTAAGCTTTTTTAAAAAATAATAAAATAATCAGACCAATCAATAAATGTCACGTGGTGAATCCGGGTTCATTGGGATTCATGGCAATGAACTTTTGAGAGAGAGGTTCATAGAAATCTGATTGTATTATTATTGTTTTTTTAGGTTTGCGTGTGAACTCCTCTCATCATCTCTTGATGGGGGTGTTCTAACAAAAGTATAGAGAAGCAACGAACGCGTGGGTGACAGTTTTTTTTTTTTTTTTTAGCGGGTGACATTCATAACAAACGATCAAAAAAAAATAAATTATATGATTTATTTTGGAGGAGTTATAAATATTGAGTAGACAACAAACAGTATACCCAATTCCCAAGCTCACTTTTCTTTATTCTCTGTTTATAAATTTCTTTCCATATTTCATTTTTCTTGTTTATTGTTCTCGGGAATAATATACCGAATCAAGTTGAAATGTTGAATGGTAGATGTGTGTTGAAGTGCAAATAGATGCCAGAAGAGTAGTGGCAACGAATTTTTGTGAATAATTACTAGAATACTAAGCTGATATGAGATTTAATGGTTTTAGAAAGAAGTACGTTGAGCGTATAAACTTTAATTGTTTTCCTAAAGAAAAGTTAAATTTGATTAAGTTACTGGTAATATCAAAAACACTGAAAAGAAACACAGGGCTCGAGAAGCAACCATATAACTCGTACGCCTTGAAGCGTTTATATTTGGGAAAAGTCATCTATTTGTACAACTTCAATGTCTCACATTCCAAATTAAAAGAAAAATGATTAGTTTGGGGCTAGTGATGAGTCGTGACTTTGTTGTGTCTGCATATATAAAAATATGCATATATACTCGATGTTATAAAGATATTTGGAAGGTATAGATTTGTAGTCTTCTAATATACACGAATAAAATCTGAGAGAATGTCACTTTCCCTTTTACCCACTCCCTCTCTTAATTTCTCATTCATAAATGATTGCATCTATTTTTTTTCCTTTTTCTCATTAATTCATTCATATTTCTACCTAATTTATATGGAATGGAAAGTAAATACTTTAAAACGAGGATTATATATATTTCATCTGTTTCAGTTTATTTGAATTTTTTAAAATATTCAATTAAGAATAAATAATGTTTTCACTAGTTTAGACTAACAAATTAATGTTGTTTGAAATTGTGATTAGTCACTTAATAATATATTTATCTCTCTTTATCAGGACAGTAACTAAAATAAATTGTATAATATTTTACATTTTTTATTTGTGTACATTATCTTTAAATGTCAAGTAAAATGAAATAAATATAATTTTACAATTTTGAAGTTTGGGATTTCAAAACAGAAGGGCAGATTTTTCTGAGTTTTTTTCTAACTGATTTGGAAGTAATTCCAAAAGGTTCATGAAACTTTCATTTTGAATTTTTAAGTGAAAAACAGATATCCGAAGAAGCTTCTATACTACCACCTAATATTGGTACACATTACAAAACCTAAAAATCGTTAGAACTGCTATGTAAGATTATCAAATTAGTATGTCCATATATATATATATATATATATATATATATATATATATATATCTTTTGTAAAGAAAGAATATCACGCTTTTCGTGATATATATGATATTCAATTTTTTAAAAATGTCTAACTTTCATCCATTTCATAAATAGCAACTACATCAAAATTCCAGTTTCACTCTCTCGCTTTCCTTCAATACATTTTTTTCTCATGCCAGCTATTGCTACTTAACGGGGAATGACTTAAATTATCCCTCTTCGTCAATAGTCAGCTCTCCCAATCCTCTAGCTGTCCATATTATTTTAGTAATTCTCAAGCAGTTAAAAGATACTACTAAACGATACTAGATCAGTTAGTTATGATATAAAATGATTAATTGATTAAGACTAAACAGTCTATGTATACTTTTTTGGCAGGGACATTAAACAGTCTATACAGTATAGATAAACATATAGGACACACACCACAAATAATTGAGAACTTAGCGTTGATTATTAAATTTCTTCGTGTATATGAATAATACTAAAAGTAATATTTAGCTTCCCTGGAAACAAGGGTAAGCATCTGCTTACCATCTGCAACCTTTACGCGTTTAGTTAAAGCCACAGGTGCACTATACAACCAAGACATGATAATTTAAGCCGCAGGTGAACAGAAACCATAACCAGCGAATCAGTATAACAAAAAAAGAAAGTAAAACTACACGGGTACTATCGGCATGCCTTATCCTCACTCAGCTCCCAACCTTGATTAAATACATGAAGTTTTCCAAAAAAAAGATTAAATACATGATTTAAAAATGTAAAATTTAGAATTGTTGATAGATTTTTTTTTTGTAAAACACAAACAAAGAGGGTGAGAGGGAAGCGGTGGAAAAGATGGAGAGTGTAAAAGCCGAAGGTGCATACGTGACAGCATTCTAACCGTTGGATCGTGAACACTTGAGGATCAACGGTAAAGATATATTAAGGGCGATGAGTGTTTGTGGAAAAGAAACAAAAAGAAGAGAGAGTGAAAGAGGATCATTAAGGTCATGGCGGCGTTGCAGAGCGCGAGACAGAAGAAAAACAAAACTCTCTGATCGATCAAAATCTCTCTCTCTTAAATACTCCCTAAACCGACAAACCAACTTTTCACAGTTTCAAAAGCTTTATTCGATTTCTAAACAAACCCTAAGAAGTAGAACTCTACATTCCTTCTCACCCCTGCAGTCTGAGAGAGATAAGTTAAGATCATCTTCCTCACTAATTGATCGTTTCGTCTTGTGGAAATATTACAAGACATGTGGTGGGAACTGGGAGAGAGTTGATTTTAAGTGGGAGAAGAGAAGCCCTTGGTAATATATGGCTGGTTGTGTCCGACTATGGCAGGCTTTTTCTCGCTAGGCAACGGCATAGGAGTAGACGGAAGCCGCCAAGACCACACTAGTACTAATAGTAATAACATTCCTTCTCCATCCAGAAACGAATCTTGGCTCTGGTGCAGAAACCCTAACACAAACGCAAACGCAAACGCTAACGCTGGGGGTGGTGATATCACTCCTTCTTATAAAGGAACACTTGAGTTATGGCAGCATCCAAACAATCAACAAATCATTTTCCAGCAACAGCAGCAACAAAGGCTGGATCTCTACACTTCCGCTGCTGGTTTAGGGGTTGGTCCAAGCAACCGGAGCTTAATTGAAACTTCCGGCGGTGGAGCCTCCGCGTTAGTGATGATGAAAAGTGATGGCGCACCGAGCTGCCAGGACTGTGGGAACCAAGCTAAGAAAGATTGCGCTCACATGAGGTGCAGGACTTGCTGCAAGAGCCGAGGCCTTGAGTGTCCCACTCACGTGAAGAGCACGTGGGTTCCTGCCGCCAAACGCCGAGAACGCCAACAGCAGCTTTCCTCCTCCCAGCAATTGCAAGGTGAGAGCGTTCCTAAACGGCCGAGAGACCATTTCCCAATCCCATCAAGATCAACTTCCCTTGTTTGCACTCATAACACCTCAGGTTTCCCATAACTTCACTTTCTGTTTTATTTTTCCCTCTTCCATTCGTTCAAGTAAAGTGGTAAAAAGAATGCACTGTCAATAAACTATTTCAACTGCAGAAACAGAATCCCTATATTGTCTGAGATCAGCTTTTTTTTTTTGCTCTCGAGAAGAACAAAAGTTTTACTCATACACAGTGTTTATCTTCATAATAATAAAAAATTTAGTACAAACTTTTTTTTTCTTTTTTTTTAGCAAAAAAAAAACAAAAGTTTGTACTAAATTTTTATTATTATGAAGATAAACACTGTGTATGAGTAAAACTGACTCTTGGATTGACAGCAGGATACTGTTCTCACCGATCTTGATATATGTGTTTATTTATTTATTGCCATTAACTTTAAATCTTCTTTATATAAAACAAACAAATATTACATTATTTTTTCTTTTTTTTTTACATTAAATTTCTTTATTCACATGTAATCAAACATTTGATCACATAATTGTTTTTTCACCTAGGGTTACAGGTTGGCAACTTTCCGCCGGAAATTAGCTCGTCTACAATGTTCCAGTGTGTGCGTGTGAGTTCGGTGGATGAGGGAGAAGATGAGTATGCTTACAAAACAGCTGTGAGCATAGGCGGTCACGTTTTCAAAGGTATTCTTTACGACCAAGGTCCGGCCGAGAGAAGTTCCTCGGGCGGTGGATCTCAGCCGTTGAATCTAATAACCGCAGGGCCATCTGCCTCCTCGTCAAGCGCAAACGTGACCTGCAACAATGGTGTCGTTGGCTCCACTTCAGATCATTACATTGATCCTGCCTCACTTAATTATCCTACTCCCAGTAACAATTTCATAACTGGTACGCACTTCTTCTCCAACCCTAGATCTTGACGGATCATACTCATTTAATTCTTACAGCACATCTAGGGTTTTTTTTAGAACAGAGGAACAGGAGGAGTTTAGAACTTTAATCAGTGCTGTAGAGAGTAATATCCGAATCCTGATAATGTTTCTATTCTATATTAAATTGCTAAATGTCTTTCACTATTATGTTCAATTTCTATTTAAAAGGTTAAAATTATCTATTATCTGCGTAAAAAATAGTTATAAATTACATAGTGTGTCTATTTGGACGTACCTTGTTTTATTGGAGTATAATAGAGTCAAGTTTTCAAATGTTTAAAAGTCAACGAGTCTGTATCTGTGGAAGCTCACATCAACAGCTTTCCAACTGGCAGTTTTCAACTCTGATAAACTCAGCCTTCTTCTTTTCTACTTTCAACTCAAGACGTTTTCGACGTCAAATTTTAAATTTAAATATGTTTGTATTAGGTCAGGTAATTACACATGTAATTTGCGTCTGCAAAATCCATTAACGTTGGAATGTATTATGTAAATATATTGGTATTGAGGTTTCTTGTGGGTTTGGCAAAACAATCACAGACACTTGCATAGTTATGTTGTTTGCGGCTACTGTTTTGTCAATATGGTCGTATGTATATCCCTTCATATTTAAATGTAAGCCGGATCTTTAAGTGATGCTACATGGTGTTAAAGAAAAAGGTGATGCTACTATGTTTTGTGCGTTTATGTAATGTCAGTACACTTACATTTGTAGATAGAGAGAGAGAGAGACATAGCTGAGACGTTCTACTTACTGAACCAAACGCCCACGTAGATTGATGTTCTCTACCATTTCCACTGCAACAAGGACATTTTTTTTAATAATCGTAATATCCGTCTCTTCACATAGACTCCTTCGTCTTATCATTAGTTCATTACACAATTTTCACATCGCACTATGCGTTGTTTGGCCACATTTTAAGGCGCTTACTTATACTACAATTCCCCAAAAGCCCGATCTTGTGTTTCTCTCTATTCCATCCACGGAATTATAAATGTACACTTATGCGTCAACTTAAATCTGATATATGTTATGTGCGTGTGTACGTGGATTCTGTTGTTAAGCACTTATTTTAAGAGAGGGAGAGAAGGATGAATTTTGCAGATTATGAGGGTGAGTGGAATGAACAGAAAAAGAATAAAATTGGTCTGCGTCTTCATTTCTGCAGGCATACATGTTTGGACCTAAAACACCTCTTTCCGCAATTTATTCCTTACCATCACTTTTTCATCATTCAATATATGTCACCTCAAGAACGCTATGATGATAATTAGATGCAATCCCTACTAATTTGGATGATTTATTTTGTTAAGAAGAAATAAATGGTGCATGGGGATGCTGGATGCATGTGAAGATTGTCTTAAAGATATACACAAATCATGCGTTATTTGTATTTTTACATTAATAACATATAAAAAATATATGTAAATCAATTGGTCCAATAACTCCATTAAACCCTAAACCCACCAGATCTCTGCTGATTTGATACCGAGATTTCCTCCGTACAACCTCCCACCTTGTCTTCCAAATCGCCTTTAGAAAAAGTTAATTGCTTTCTTTCCTTCTTGATAAACAAATATTCTTTGTCAATAATTTGATGTTATTGGGCGTAGAAAGCATTTTAGGACGAATGGTGATTACAGAGCTGCTTTCAAAATCACAAGGCAAGTGGGGTCTTGAGAATTCTCCCTTTTGTAAACCAATTAGAGAAAGACACGTATAAGGGACAAATTTGCAATTGGCATCATTGCATTTTCAGGGGGACAGAACAGAAGCCTTTAGGACCACAAAAACAACATAGCATGAAGCTTTCGAAAACAGAATTCCATAAAATGTCTCACCATGAAATAGAAAAAGTAACAATACTGTTGGCCTTACTTTGTTTTTGTTTGCCGAAACCAACTTTTAGTTCATCCCATTCCACTCATGATTGCAAACACGCCACCACTGACCCAGCTCAAATTATTTCTGAACAAGGTATTAAGATTCTCAGTGAAGATAATTCGAATATTTGTGTAATTAACTAGAATCTTATATTTTGGAAAAAAAACTCACTAAAGTAAAGAAGATGGTGTCACGGTAGAACTTGAAAAAAAGTTCAAGTCCATTTCTCTGAATTTGTTAATTATTCTGGGCTTGTATTCTTAAACATGGTCTTTTTTTGGGCTAGAGCCCAGCCTGTTGTAACGCGAGGCCAACATATAAGAAGCGTAGACTTGTCCGCATCATCATGTGATATATCTTATAATTGTGAGTCGGTATGGTTTTGTCCACATCCACATCATGTGCATGTCCCCTTTCATTAATTTCATTTCTATATCACCTTTCAAATTAATATCTATACCACGGAATTATTGAACCAAAATATATAAAGTGCCCATCATACATTTAATGAATAATAATAAATTGTCTATAGCTATATATAAAAATAATACTACAAAAAACACTAGTCTCTTCAATACTTCAACAACCGACCACGCTACTAGTATTATACTAGTATTTATTCACGAACCAACATGTGCTTTCTGTTAATCCCAAGTCAAATTGGTTGATAATGAAAATGTCATACCTACGTACATGTTTTTAATCTACATATAATGTTTCAAAAAGAAAGAACTTAGGGTGTAAGTACGAAAGAAAGAAAGAAAAAGCAGTGCACATGCATTGCTTTTGGCGAAATACGTTGTTTAAAATGGACAGCGCGCGGTTGTGCAGCAAACAACCATGTGCTGTGATTATTGTTTTATATATAAAAAGTTATATATATAGTATGAATAAAAACTCGTAGAGGATATATAGTTAGAAGAAGTTTAGGAAAAGTAGTGTTCGTTGGTAGAAAGCAAGAAGCATTGGTTGAAGAATTAGCATGAAGAAGGTGGATTGCGAGGGTGACTGAACATCGATAATTAGGTGAAGCGGAGGAGATGAATTGATGAAGGCAAATTATTAAGAAAACATGTTAAATTATTAGTTAATAAAAGGAAAAATGTTAGCCAGCTACACGAAGTATCACCCATCACATGGCTAACCATGCCAAGTTTAATAATTTATTGCCAGCTACACCAAGTATATGTTATGCATGCTAACATCCCCGAACTATATGATGTTATGTAATCAACATCATTAGCTTAATTAAAGTCGAGCATGAGTGACATGTGGACGCCCCGACCATAAACGTTGTTAACTCTCTAGTTTAACTCTTCGGTTTAGGTAAATTTAAACCAGAATGGAAACCAGACAATAAGACCAGACCAAATAAAATTGGGCCCAAAGTCAATCCTATCTCCTCCCCTTCTTTTTCATTTTGAAACGAAGACAGGAAATTTCAGGTTTTAAATTTTCACAAATCAGTGGGAGAAAGGAACTTGGTGTTTGCTACATATTTTAACAAATCGAGAAAGAAGAATAGAGAAACTCTGAATTCTCACAACCATCTTTTTCAATACATATGTGCACCTCCTTATACCATCGACCTGTTGTTTCCAAGCTCTTCTTATTTTTATCTATATTTTTCCACAGAGGCCTAATATCTTCAATGTTTTCATATGGGAGCTTGACCCAAAGTATTCCAAAGACGATCTTTCTCTCAGACATTTTTGACACCAAAGAAGTCTGAGAATTAAGAGTTGCTCTACTCATCTTTCTCGATTTGTTAAAATATGAAGCAAACACCAACTTCCTTTCTCCCACTGATTTGTGAAAATTTTAAACCCTAAATTTTCTTTCTGATGAAAAAGAAGGAGAGAAGACATGCTTGCATTTGGGCCGAATTAAAAATAATGGCCCAATTTTATTTGGTCTGGTCATATTATCTGGTTTCCATTCTGGTTTAAATTTGCCTAAACCGAAGAATTAAACCAGAGAGTTAACAGAGAGTTAACAACGTTTATGGTCGGGACATCCACATGTCACTCATGCTCGACTTTAATTAAGATAATGATGTTGATTACATAACATCATATAGTTCGGGGATGTTGGCATGCATAACATATACTTGGTGTAGCTGGCCATATATTATTAAACTTGGCATGGTTAGCCATGTGATGGGTGATACTTCGTGTAGCTGGCTAATATTTTTCCTTAATAAAAAAGAGTAGGGGTAGAAGGGTAATAAAAAAAAGTGTGCTGCTTAACCCAAATAGTTTAGCGCGGCAGTTGTTAAAAGAGTGGGAAAGGAAAGGCTAATAATAAAAGAGAGAGAGAGAGAGGAGGTGCCAGCAGATTGCAGAAAAACGCCATTAACGATTTACACAGCTGTGCGAATCCGATTAATCCAGAGAGGGAGAGGGAGAGGGAGAGGGAGAGGGAGAGGCGTAAAATATCTGGATCTTCTTCTCCTTCTTCTTCCTCAATCCTCATTCAGATTCTCTTCTCGGAGCTGCCTTTATTTGGCCTATTCTTCATCCTCTGACGAGGTATAAATTCATCGATTGCTCGGCTAATTTACGCTAACCGGATGTCGATTTCGTAGGCATTGTCTTTTTTTAAAAAAAAATTCGACTCCTCCGTGTCTGTTAAGGGGGTGGAGATGCATGCATTGCTCTCTCTCTCTGATTATTTTTATTATTGTTTAGTGAGTTTGTATTTTATTTGGTGTTTGGAGGGCAGGTGTGTTTGTGTGTGTAAGTAATTTGTGAAAATAAAACAAAAGAAGATTGGGGTCGTCGTCACTGCACATGGAGCAGGTCCAACGTTATACAGAAGCAGCGGCTGTGTCATCTTCTTAACCCCTCCTTCCTTAGGTAAATCATCATAAGCATCTCTTTTTGTTTCTTTCTATCTATAATAGAGAGAACTTGGGGGACCATTTTATACCAAAAAAACAAACTCAGAAATCTATCCTGGAATCATCTATATTATAATATCAATCTTTTGTTTGTCTCTCTGTCTCCACACTACAATAAATCTCCGTTTTCTGATCTTGCTCTCTAGCATAATATTATTATTATTAGTTTGGTAGAGAAAAAGACACACATGGTGGTTTTGGCATGGAATTTGACCCAGATGATTGATTGCACTCATTTTCCCAATTATTCACTTGTCATTGCCAATAATTTTGAGTCACATAATTTGCCTCCACTTTCTTATATAATGTTTTCATTCTCATTTTCTACTCTGGAGGTATGACGATGACTACGGAAGCCGATCAGATGCAAGGACCAAGCGGTGGCGGCGGCTCTGAAGAAAAGATTTTTGTTTCTGTTCGTCTCCGACCTTTAAATGACAAGGAAATGTTAAGGAATGATTCCCCAGACTGGGAGTGCATCAACAATACAACCATCATGTACAAGAGCCATCTTTCCATCTCTGACCGTTCCATGTATCCTTCTTCTTACTCTTTTGGTATTGCATTTTATTCCTCCTTTCCTCTTCCTTCTTTTTCCCTCTTTTTTTTTTAACCCTTTCTTATTATTATTATTACTCTCCTCTGCCTCTAGACAGAGTGTTCGGCCCTGAGTGTTGTACCAGGCAAGTCTATGACCAAGGGGCTAAGGAAGTTGCTTTCTCTGTTGTCACTGGCGTTAATGGTGTGGCCTCTTTCCAATCTGCATTTCACTCTTCCTCTCTTTTTTTTGTCTTCTCTTTCTTTATATTTCACTTGGTTTCAGCTAGCGTCTTTGCATACGGGCAAACAAGCAGTGGAAAGACGTACACCATGAGTGGAATTACTCACTGCACCTTGGTTGATATATATGACTACATTGACAAGGTAAATTAAATAAAACAGCATCCTCATATCTTACTACTTTATTTTCCAGCCCATTCTATATTTGTTTCCGTGGTAGTCTTATTTATCTGCTTATTCCAGCACAAGGAAAGAGAATTCATTCTTAAGTTCTCTGCCATGGAGATCTATAATGAGTCTGTACGAGATCTCTTAAGTACTGATAGTAGTCCGCTCAGACTTCTAGATGATCCTGAGGTAAATAATAATAACTTTTTTGTTTTTGTTTTTGTAATCTCTCATACGAAGTTCATTTTACTTCTGACAGAAAGGGACAGTTGTTGAGAAACTCACAGAGGAAACTCTGCGAGATTGGAATCATTTCAAGGAGCTCCTATCTGTTTGTGAAGGTAAAGATATTCTAAATCTGGTATCTAAGTTTTCATAATTAGTTATGTTTTTTTTTGCAATAATTTTCATGACTCATCTAATCATTTCGCAGCTCAACGGCAAATTGGAGAGACAGCTCTAAATGAAGTTAGCTCCCGGTCTCATCAGATTTTGAGATTGGTTAGGCATCTTGTTAATTTATATTTATGGTTTAACGCTTCATTCTTTGTGACCTTTTTTCCCCACTTTTATCTTAGCTCTACTACTTTCTTACAGACAGTTGAAAGCACGGCTCGTGAATTTTTCACTAACGATAAATTTAGTACACTAACAGCAACAGTGGTACGTCTTCTTGAACTCTCCATCACATTGTCTGCTAACAAAGTTGTTGAAAGGATCTATGGACTAACTACTTGTCCTGCAGAACTTTATTGATCTTGCTGGAAGTGAACGTGCATCTCAATCATTATCAGCCGGCACAAGGCTGAAAGAAGGTTGTCATATAAACCGAAGTTTGTTAACGCTGGGAACTGTGATCCGTAAGCTAAGGTTAGCTTGTGAGCGCTTAGCTTCCATAACGTTTTCTGTTTTGTGAGATTAGTATTGCTCTTTGAGCAGCGCTTTGTTGTACTTGAAAGTCAAGTTCTGTCTCAAACATAGAGCTTACACCTATTATCACACCTTTTTACTATGTTTATGCAAAATTTTCTCAATTGTTCCGCCTCAACTCTTTAGTTCAATATATATGTGAACGATTCTATTTTTTCTTTTTGCATCACTAATTAAATGGCTAACTTCATGCAGTAAGGGAAAAACTGGGCACATTCCATTCAGAGATTCAAAACTAACACGCATACTTCAGTCTTCCTTGGGAGGAAATGCCAGAACTGCCATAATTTGTACCATGAGTCCTGCAAGAATCCATGTTGAGCAATCTAGAAACACACTGCTATTTGCGAGCTGTGCAAAGGAGGTGACAACAAATGCACAAGTCAATGTTGTCATGTCTGATAAAGCTTTAGTAAAACACTTGCAGAGGGAGTTGGCTAAACTGGAAAGTGAGTTGAGAAGCCCTGGTCAGCCTTCGGTTGCCTCTGACACAACTGCGTTACTGACGGAGAAGGACCTCGAGGTTGAAAAGGTAACGAGACAAGCTCCAATTACCCTGAACTCACCATTATAGTAATAGTCTTCTTCGTTGCTGCAGCTACATGTATACCTTTTCCATGCATTTGTTGATTTCTCATGTTCACAATTCAATCACTCTGTAGTTTTCTGAAGATTTGAGTTATGAACTGTCCCATTTATTGCAGCTTAAGAAAGACGTATTCCAACTAGCACAAGAGCTAGAACAAGCTCGTTGCGAGATTGAGGATCTTCGACGAATAGTTGGAGAAGGTAAAGAACGACCAAAAGTGACACTGTCAACAGAATCAGCAGAGGTAAATGTGTGTTACTTCCACTTGCTAATCTTACTTTACTTGCAAGTTATTAAATTTTGTATCTGTCTTGTGCGTAGGTGCTGGTGGAACATCAATACCCGAAGCTGCGGGTGCGCAGTACGTGGGACTCTGAGAATACAACACCATTAAGCCCTATATCAGCTCACCGTTCCAGTTTGTCTCCACGATCATCTGAATACAGTTATGACGAGAACGTCTTCCGGCTTTCAGATTTAAGGATAGATTCTGGGTCAAGTAGTCCATTTCAGCAGCATGCCTTTGTAACTCCTTTCCCTGAGGTTCCACACGAGGCAGAAGAAACTAAAGACCAATCCGAAGTTGACACAGAAGAAACGGAAGCTCAACCTCGAAATGCCTCGACAACATTAGTTATTTTTCCTTCTCCAGGCGAAGGTTATGGTCAGGAGGAACGGGTTAATGAAATGGATAGAGAGACTGATGGAAATTCTGAGGATAACTGCAGGGAAGTTCGATGCATTGAAACAGAGATGTCAGATGTCACTAGACATCCAGAGGAAAATATTCTGCAGAGCAGTCCAGACAGATTTGACATTGTAAATGCAGAAGAACCAGTATGTGTGACAGAGCCAAAGAACATACACTTATCCATTGAAGAAGAAGAAGAAGAAGAAGAAGAAGAAGAAGAAGAGCCAGTATGTGTAACAGAGCCAAAGAACATACAACCACCAATTGAAGCTAAAAAGGAAGAGGAAGAAGAAAGAGTAAAGGAAGTCAGTACTCAACCAAAACAAGAAAGCAAACTCCCTCCACGCTGTGATTTCAAATCATCTCCTGATGAGTTTAGCACAAACATGTCCAACCTTAGTAGCAACCCGATGCCTCCAGTACTTATCACTCCCTCTCCTGAAAAGCCTTTCTCTTGGCTTACGGAGAGAGACTCACGACCGTTCAGAGGCATGAAACTGACTAGAAGTCGAAGCTGTAGAGCAAGCTCTTCCCCGACTTGGTTTGAGAAAGATGCTGACACACCGCCAAGTTGGTACGACAAAGAATTTGGCAAAGCAGCTGAGAGGAACCTGGCAATGTGCGACATCAAGAATGAGAGGTTGCTGCAGGATGAGTTTAGCGGGAGGAGCATGCCAACAGCATGGATCGAGAGAAGCTTGAGTGACACACAAACTGCGCATGATGCTTCATATGGTGTCAGTAACGAAATGTCATCACCAAATGAATCACTGTCCCGCCCCTCTGATGTTTCTGTGTTTGAGCTTCAGACAAGTGGTAGAGCTTCTACAAGCCAGGAGAAAACGGAGGAAACTGCTGCTCAGAAAGACAAGCGGATCATTCATCGCTCGGTTAGTTTTTTTTATGTTGCTTATTTGGTTCAACCAAAAAACGATATGTTTTTCCTTGGCTTTTTTTTTTTTATAACAAAAAAATCTCTTAAAGTCCAGCGTGTCTGACATGTAAACAGATGGAGGAAATAGAACAGAAGTTCTTGGCCTTGACTTCGACAAAGTGTTTCAAAGACGCTGCATTGGACCCAATACAAGATTACTTAGACACGCCTTTGAATTGGCCGGAAGAGTTCAAGAGACTACAGCGGGAGATAATAGAGTTATGGCACACGTGTAACGTCTCCATGGCCCACAGAAGCTACTTCTTCCTATTGTTCAGAGGGGATCAGAAAGATTGCTTGTACTTGGAGGTTGAACTCCGTAGACTCAAGTACATCGCCCTAAATAGCAACGCCACTGACGATCTGAGCTTAATGTCCAGGTTAACTTCCATTTTCACAATGTATTTATATATATATATACTCTTTGGTTTAGTACTAATGTTTTTGTGTGGGAAACAATACAAACAAGCAGCACGAGGGCGTTGACTAGAGAGAGGTTTAAGCTGAGCAAGCTGATGCAGAGGAAACTATCCCAGGAAGAGAGAGAGAACCTGTTCTTGAGATGGGGCATTGGGCTGAACACAAGGCACAGACGGGTCCAGCTGGCGCACAGACTCTGGTCTGATTACAAAGACATGGGTCATGTCCGAGAGAGTGCCACCCTCGTTGGTAAGCTCCATGGATTCGCGGACATGAACTTGACTTCCTCTGAGATGTTTGGCATCAACTTTGCTTTCAGACCACCTCGTCCCAAGAAATCTAGTCTTTGGAAACGCAGCGTTTTGTCCCTCTCCTTCTTGTAACTTGTGAGTAGTAGTAAGTAAACCACATGATTAAAACGAATGTTGGCAAATGAAATCACAATCTTCTTTTATTTGATCATGTTGATATAACTCGTCTCTACCGTTAGTGAATTTGAAGGTAATCACACGGTGGTTTTACACCATAGTCTAGGGTGGTGGCAAGTTCCGTACCCATTCAGTTTTCGAATTTAAAGATTTCAATTCTATTTAGACATTAATAAATTTTAGTTTTAGTTCGGGTTTATGCAGGTTCGATTCGAATAACCCATTCATTTTCTTTTTTTTAAAATTTATGTATATTAAAAAAATAAAAAATAATATTTAACATATAAATTTAGTATATCTAAATATTTAAATTTAACATAAAAATTAGTTTGACTTAAATATTTGGATGGAGAATTAGTTAATATTTTAAATATTTTTAAGATTTTGAGTATATATACTATTTTTATATATTTTCAAGTATTTTGGATAACTTCAAAATATCTTATATATTTAGATTTTTGGATATTAAATCTAACAGCAACTAATATATTTATTTATATAAATCTGATTCGCATATATTCGGATAGTTAAAATATTTTGGTTTAGTTCATGTTCGGTTTCGATTATTTAGATATCAAATTTTTGAATTCCTTAAAATATTTAAATAGTTTTTTGGATTAGGTTTTCTTTTCTAGCCCTACCGAGTTACTTGGTGCCTTAAAACAACACCAACTATACTCTAAGGGTGAAAAACATGTGGCTAAAGTAATTAAAACCCAACAGAAATTTGGCTAAACAAACATAGTTATCCTAATCATAAATAGAGTGTTAATCCGGATCAGTTCTTAATAGATATGTTTTTTTTTTATAACACTAAGAGAGTATAAGGTTCGTCGAAACGAAAAAATGATACAAAAAACATAAAAAAGACAAAGAAATAAGATGTCAGAAGACACCATCAAAGAGGGAAAAGAAGAGGAGCTTACAAACCCTTTCTTACACTGCCTCCAAAGCGAGTAAGTGATGAAGCCATGATGGAGCATTCCGGGTGATATACTACTGGTGGCGCCTATCTCGAGTGACAGAGAGAGCAATAGCCGCTGCAGCTTCGTTTCTTTATGGAAGAACATGATCCAAATTTCATTAATCTATTCTTGTCAAAAGCCAAAGGATGCTGTGACGAATGTGGATGTTCTTAATAGATATGTAGGCATATTATTTCTTCAGGTATCATCATTCTCAGATATATCAGCAACGCTTAAGTCAAAACACTAAAACTATAGGTTTCATCGATCAGAGTTAGTATGAGTACATAAAGAGTGAATGATTTTCAATCATGTAATTCTTGATCATGGTTATATTGAAAATTCTTTCTTTTTTTCTGTATTATATATAATAATCTGATGAATAAGGAAATGGATGTTAATTACTTCCTTTTTACACTACAGCATGATTAATAAATCACGTTTATTTGTCAATGCGCTGGTTCACAACTTCAGATACATAAATACATCTGAGATATAGAGTAAGGTATGAATGTTTATGTTTATCACGAGGACGAAGATCGTACCGTGGGTCCATTGTTGATTTATTGTATTTGTATGTTTGTTTGCTACTCCCAGTCTCGGTCGTCTCTCTCAGCCCAAACAGTCAACCCCGTCGTCGCTTTGTTTTCCTTCTACGTAAAGAGCATAACAGCTTACCCAATACAGCTTAGCCACGTGTGTTCCACTCCACCTAATCTTCTACCCCAGCATTCTTCGCATTGTTCTTCAACAGCTTCCATGACAATGACCAAATACTCCTAGTCTAAGTTGACTCCTATTTAGAATTAATTACATAAACCATGAAGCCATGCGCAAACGGAGGGGCTCCACAATGTCCATTGTCAAATTGTATAAAAGCGAGTCTCTCGTAGTCCTGTATATAGAATTATATATCCCAAATTTATTTAATGTTATTGTTTTATTTTCGTTCTCTTTTTATTGGCTTATACAACGTTCCAACGACTTTCAACCACATGTATATCTTGTGCTTACGCGAGATCCATGTGACTCTTGGACTCATCGCAAAACCCTAATTTTAGTTCTACAATCCTCTCATGTATTTTATGTACTATATAACCCTTCTTTGGATGGCCAACATACAAAATAAACTTACGCATACATATGTATTCATCAAGTTATTTACTGGATTGGATCATATTCATCGGTTCACTGACTAAAGCTTTGTAGGTAAAACACACTAAATAGATGTGTTTGTATATAATATTGTAGGCGTGAGATGGAATGTAAGTGAGAAACATGTAGTTATTTTTGACGAACACAGAAATCAGAGTATTGACACTAGAACTAACGACAAACAGACAAGAAAGGTGTTACATCAGATACACAAACGTCAGGTTGTAACTGAAAATGTAACAAAATGACATCGATCTTCAGTAATTCCTTCTTTTCAATATTTGGAAAAAAGTATATACAAAAAGGAAGAAAAGAAAATATGATATAAAAATAGAGAATACATGTACAGGATTGAAGAAGAAGACATCATTTGGAGCATGAAGTAACACCAAGCAAAATGATGATATTTTCAGCTTCTCTCTCCCGTTTCTCTCAAAACGGAGCCACCCACCTTTAATAATAAAAAATAACTCCTTTTCCAATATCTCCATTCTAAGTTGTAACACAATCATTACCTTGGTTTCATATATTAATTATTAGATTCATATATTTCTGTACCTATATATGAATATCCACAAAGTAGATACAATTTTGTGTATAAATACATATATGTGCATATGTATATGCGCACGCATTGAAGCAGTGATGGTGAGTGAAGCCAACGCGAAATGAGCATATGATTACACTCTGAAGTCCAAACACACGTCGACGTTCAAGTGGACGGTCCATACATCTATCTTTTCTATATACCTAATAAGCACCTTCTCGCTCTCTGTTTTTATTGATAGAGTCGGTTGAGGTTTCTTCTATGGTCGATCTTAATTTCCTAGCTCGATCAAGAAGAAACCAGCAAAATATAAACACTTGAATACTTTATAAAGATGATGGGGGTGGTTCAAGAGTCGTCTATACCGCCTGGTTTTAGGTTCCATCCGACAGATGAAGAGCTTGTTGGATATTACCTCAAGAAGAAAGTCGCATCCCAAAGGATTGATCTCGATGTTATCAGAGAAATTGATCTTTACAAGATCGAACCATGGGATTTACAAGGTATATCTCTCTCTTATATATATATGCTTCTGAATCGCAATACATATGCTCAATCGTTTATAGAATATGTTTTAAAAACATTTTCAGTCTTTATGTATGGAATTTATGAATCTGATATATATATAGAAGATTACTGTATATCTCTAGACATGTCAAAGGAGAAATTAGGGTTTTCATATCTTATGAATAAACGGACGACAATTACACATCCAAGCAACCCATCATTCATGCGCTATCAGTGTCGATCCACATATAAGTTAATTTGTAATTTGAAAGAGTTATATGATCTATGATACCGGATACACGCGTAGAGAGATGCAGGATAGGGTACGAGGAGCAAAAGGAGTGGTACTTTTTCAGCCACAAAGACAAGAAGTATCCGACTGGGACGAGGACAAACCGAGCCACCATGGCTGGTTTCTGGAAAGCCACAGGACGGGACAAGGCCGTTTACCTCAACTCCAAACTAATTGGTATGAGAAAGACTCTCGTCTTTTACCGTGGTCGAGCTCCCAACGGCCAAAAATCCGACTGGATCATCCATGAATACTACAGCCTCGAATCCCACCAGAACGCTTCTCCGCAGGTACATTTCTACACTATGACTTATTCTTCAGTACTTTTTCTCTTAACTTAGAGAAATTTCACCTTTAATAGCTAGAGGTTCCACTAGATATACATATATATACGTAGATAAACCAAGTGTTTTTATTACATATGTAGGCTCTAGTGTTTTGGGTGTCTCTTTCTTGGTCTGAAAAGCACGTAAAAGAAAGAAAAAAAAATAACAGTTAACGATGTGAATTAAAATGGTGAAGCAGGAAGAAGGATGGGTAGTGTGTAGAGCATTTAAGAAACGAACGACCGTCCCGACAAAAAGAAGACAAGTTTGGGATCCAAACTGTTTCCTATACGACGACGCTACCCTCTTGAAACCTCTCGACAAGAACGTCCTCATCAAACATAATAGTACTGATGATGATGATATAGCGGCCACACCGTTTAAGCAAGAACTACCCTCTGAGGCCAACCACATCGTCGATGATGGGTTCTTTGGATCTATATACCTAAAATCCATGGGGGATGATGAATTATCTCAGCTTCCTCAGCTAGAGAGCCCCTCTCTTGCCTCAGAGAAGTTGCCGGAACCAATTCGCCGGGCGGGGGAAGATGATGGCGTTAGCGCCGAGAAGAGGATGACGGATTGGAGAGCTCTTGATAAGTTCGTGGCATCTCAATTCTTGATGAGTGGCGAAGAATAAAAGGGTTTTTTTTTTGTGTGTGTGGGGGTGATAGTATAACCGTTCTATGCATTCATGCATGCATGCATACATAAGAAACGTTGTCTCATAAGGTGAGATTATATTTTATATGAATGATCTTAATAAAAATTCAACGAAGGGATAGATTTTGGATGGATGCTTAGGAGGTGAGAGTGGGATAAGATATATATATATATATAATAACGCTCTACACTTACTGAGTTTTAAGTATAATGTATGAGCAGTGGGTTAAAGAAAAATACGTTCCAACCCCAAACACAAATTAACAGTGGTGTGTTATTTGTTTTTGCATTTTTTTAATTAAAAAGAAAAATAAAAAAATAGTAAAGTGGGCTGAAGTGGGCCCATATAGAATGGGCTTTTGTCTAGCATGCGCGGTGAAGCATGGCTAGTTGAACTCATGCTTTGTCTCCCCCAATTAAATATCAGACGTGCGGTCGTTACCTTGATCTGTTTGAACAAATACTGTCGTCTGAAGGGAACCAGAACGGCGAGTTATTTGCATATAAAAAAACAAAACGTCATGAAATCTCTCTGTCTTAAGGTGAAACCGTGAAAGAGTTAATCTCTCTCTCTCTCTCTCTCTCTCTCTGTTTCATTCTCCTGGGTACAACGGGGACATTGCCGAAACAAACAAACGAAACAATTGGATTGCAATATGGGGGCATCAGATTCAACGCTATTAGGAGGTCAGGTAATAAGTTCGTGATTTGATTGTTGAGCCATATCGGTTAACCCTAAACCCCAAAAAATGGAATGAATATGTTTCAGGAGAGAAGAGGAGAAGTGATAACGACCATCTCTGAGCGATCGGAGAAAGTGGATCCCATTCTCGAAAATCTTAAATCCCTCACAGTTGTGAGTGTCTTTTTTTTATCATATTCACAGATTGATCGAAACTCACTATTATGTTATGTTTCTGATTGTTTTAATTGTTTTTTGTAAAAAATGGCAGAGTAGGCCAATATTGAAGTCAGCACCTCAGGGGGAAAGTAGCTTAACAGACATATTGGTGAGGAAAGCTTTATCCTCCTCCTCCTCTTCTTCCAGTGAGTTTGTCTCATCTTCTCTTATACACCCAAAATCATCTATATTCTGTTTTATTCGTCTAGCATTTTTTGGATTCTGGATTGTGTGAAGTAGACTGTTTTGTTTTCGTTTTCATCATAGACCCTTTTACTCTTCTTTTTCTTTTTTCTTTCAAATCTAATTTATTGTTTGCCAGAAGATACGGTGGATCCTCAAATACTTGTCGAGCTCTTTTCCGTTTATCGAGAATGGCAAGACAACAAAGCGCAAGATATTACCAATAGACAGGTCCCTCTTTCTTCTAATGGACATGGACTTTATAATTATCTTATCTTTGATCCATGTGTACAGTCTTTTAGAAATGCTTTTGTATGTAAATGAATTAATAACAACATGTTCATGTATATCTCTAGGAAGATATAGAAAACAAGATTGAAGTGGCAGATGCTTTGGCCACTAAACTTCTACAGAGGTTTAACCACTCCGTCTCTGCTATGAGGACCACTTCCCACCATTTATCTCAAGGTACCTCTACCTCTACCTATACCTCTACCTCTACCTCTACCTATACCTATACTATATCATCCCATCCCTTCCCTTGTTCAAGGATGCCCTTCACTACTTGACTATATATTATTCTTCTTCTTCTTAGTTCATGGGCTTCAGGTTGAGCTTGGGGAGCTTAAAGGAAGGTTGACTGAGGTTATAAACAACTGCGATTCATTATGTAAACGAATAAATTCAGAGGGACCTGAATCTCTTAGCTCAACTGTCACTCCCTTTGTTCTTCCACCTCCTGATTCGGTCAGTACCCTCTCTTCTAAACAAGACCCATAAGCGTCTGTTTGACCATAGCTAGATCGGTCGAGTACTTCCCACTAGCCTTGTCTTTGATTTTGCATAAATGCAAGATGATGGTTCTATTGTTCGATACTTCTTTGTTTTCAGATTTGTATAATCGAAATCCATTGTTGTGATGTAGGAAAATTCATATGTTATTCGCACTTTTTTACACAAAATCCACAGTGGATAATGGTTTGCAGTTTATCGGGTTGAATAGCTTGAAACAAGATAAAAACTTGAAACAGAATATTAGATTCAGATAAATGGTAGTAAGCCTCTTTTTTGTTTGGCCAGCAGCTCGAGGATTAGAGTTGCTGCTGAGCGTCAATGTAACCCGCACTTTCTCCCTCTTAGCCATCTCCAGATCTTCATCCACCGTCATCTTCACAGCTTGGGGAGGAGGAGGAGTTGAGCCGAACATCTCGGAGGATCCGGCCTGGTAGTACTTGATGTTGCGGCCATTGTCGGCGATGTGAGACCTGGCAGCCTCCAGGAGGCGGAGAGCACATCAGCAAGTGTAGTCAGGGATCTCGAAGGAGACAGCAACGTTGGACTGAGCAGCAAGGAAGGTTGTAGACCTCGTCGGGCTTGATGACGTCGGCGGAGGGAAGGGGCATCAGAAAGATCTGCGTAGTGGAGCTTCATGAGAGCTTTGTTGGCATTGTGGGGATCGTCGGATCAGGCACCTCGTAGCCTTTTTCAAGCAGGTAGGAAAATTCATATGTGAGAATCACTGCAGCCATTAGAAGCTTCGGATCTGGACACATTATTGTCTTGGGAGGCCGAGTAGTGGTGAGGTGTGTTTGATATTTTGAAAAGCTCCTAGGAATGATAGAACAAGGCGGGTTTATTTGGTGAAATTGAAAAGTGAAGCTGTACGTAAACTCACTCGTACATGTTTGGCAAATCGCCGCCTAAAGTTGACGGAATATGATTAATTAGTACGATCTACTGTAAACCAATATGGCAGTCCAAATCGTAGTGGGCTTGAATTCCTACGGATTTTAGTAATTGCCTGGCCCAGCCATTTAATATACAATTTCGAAATTCAGAGAGTTAATAAATAGAGGTTAACAGAGAAAAAAAACGTAACACTAAAAAGAAGTAATTAAAAAAGTGGTAAATTTGTAATTGTAATGGAGAGACCAATAAAAACAAGAGCCTCTAAAAACAATTCTAAATAAGAATGTGGAGGGGGCACAGGCATGGCAGCCGCCTCTATTTATAGTTTTGGCCAGTCAATAAAATTATGAAGGTTTACTCTACTTATTTTAGGGTTTTGTCTCCCACACAACACAAATCGTATCGCCGACATCTCTTCACTTTAGAGAGAGTGTTGGTCTTATAAGGAAAAGTCGGATTGGTTTTTGAATCTGGAGTTGATTTAGAAAGAAAATTGTTGAGAAAAAAAATGGGAAGTGATGTGAAGAAAGCAAGGGTTTCATGGGCATCGGATAGTATGCTTTGTCAGGTATAGCCACCCTTACTATTCAAATAGAAAAACAAAAACAAAAAAAAAGAACAAAAGAAAAGAGAGTTTGATGTTTCATTGACGATTTCTCTCTCTCTTGTTCTTTTATCTTATGTGAAATAATTAACTGATTCGACTTACACCCACTCACAGTTTATTAACTATGGTAGTGGTACCCAAAGATCAGAAAAAAAGAGAAGAATTGCTGACCTTAAATTTGTTTTAAATTTGAACGAACAGAATAAGCATGTCATCATCGTTTAACCTAATAAAGAAACCTAACTTTTAATTATGAACAACTAATTTTTTTGAATTGCTGAGGTTCAGAGTTGAGATTACGAGGTTTCTAACTAAATATAATAAATAATAATAGTATTGGATATTTGTTATCATAATCAGGTAAAGGTGTTTCAAACAGAAGATTGTCCGGCGAAAGTTGGAGCAGAAACATGTAATAGCAAATCAAAGACATCGAAGTCGGAGGATCTCCAGCGTGGAACTGTGTATTCAACGAGGCCTCCTCCTAACATTCCCCTCATTCCATGGAAACTCCCACCAAAAGTACTTATATATATATATTATTCCTCAATTGTAAACTTATACCACATTTTTCTTATGTTAACTTCTTCAACTTTGTATTCTTTTTGCTAAAACAAACAGTATATTATCAATGACCAATTGCTTGTTGCAAGTGGTGAAGAGAGCATAGAAACCGGTTCCGAAAACTTGAGGACTGCAAAAGCCTTGGAAGCTTTCTATCCACACCGCTCTCTCATCCCAACTCGGTAGGTAGCCCCTTTCTTATCATTTTTATATAATTGCAAATGTCTCTTTAAGTCTTTTATTATTATCACTTATATATATATATCTCATTATGTGTCTCTACTCTCTACCAAACCCGTTTTCGTATTCGTGTAGTCCTTCCATCTCACCGGCGGCGGCTGTACAAGTTGATGACACCAATACTCCTACCATTCGTCTCACTCCCATTGAGGACGACGACAACCAACCTGACGCTCTTGCTCTTCAATCTTCTCACTGCTCCAACGCTCCTTCACCTGTTCTTGACTTGAGCCTTGCTGCTCTGTCTGCAACCAAGGAAGAGATCGATGCTGATTTACTTGTCAAGTTACTCACTGACCCCATTATCATCAACAACCTCTTGAATGTTTCTCCTGCTAAACCACTTGAAAATGGGAATAACACCACCACCAAACCACCTCCTCCTCCACATGTCACCACTTCCTCAGCCATGGATACAAACTCACCTCCTATAACCACCACCCATCCTGGAAATGGTGTCCCTGTTTTGACGGCAGCCCCTCCCCTGGTTTTGAACACTTATCCATTGCCAAGAGTAGAAGAATCCTTGAAACCAAGCTGCTCAGTTGTAGTCTCAGAACCCCAATGTCAATCCCTCACCTCCTCCTGCACTTGGAATGTGACTAGAGTACTTGAATCAGCGGGAACTGGAACAGATGCACCTAGCCGTAATGGTGCTTATCCCATGAACATAACTCGTGATGACTATTTCAAAAACCTTATCAGAGAACACGGGGGTGTTGTTGCTCCGGCGACAAATGGAACTAACAATTACAAAAGACGAGTTGATAATAATAATAATAATGAGACGAAGAAGAAAGCACTAGTGAAGGTAAAGGCTCAGAAACCATGCATGTTTTTTGGAAGAGGCAGAGGGTGTAAGCTTGGGGAAAGTTGCTTATTCCTTCACGACCCCTCCAAAAGGTTGTGGACTGATGATGCTGCTGCTGATCCAGTCAGAGCAAAGAGACACAAGTTTATAACTTGACCAACCGCTGCGAGGTTACGGAATTTAACCAACCGACCAACCCTCCCAAGTAGTTGTCAAATTTTTGGTAAATAGCTTCATCGAATTTCAGATAACTTGTTTAACAAGTTTGGTTCGCTCTGTTACCATTCTCTTTGGTTCCACATTTTAAAAACTTCGACCAAATTCGAGCCTTCCTGTTGTACTTTTCTGTTCGGATTCAAACTAACTATTTATAAAACCCATTCAAGCTTTAAGTCATAACTACCAACAATATCAGTAAGGCGAGTTTAATATATTGAGAACAAACGAAAAATCCAATCCAGTCCTTTCAACGTTACAGGTGCAGAGAAGGGAACGAAAGAGAGAAGCATAGGCAACCCACTCAAAAAACCAAAAAAAAATTCCGCAGTCATCACAATAAAAACCAATGCAACAACACACGCCACAATAGACAAAAAAAAAGAGGAAACACACCAGAGTGAACTTGCTCTTTATTCACTTCACTTGATCGCAATGGACTTGTACTTTTGAACAGTGCTTGTTATAGCCTGCTCTACAGGTAGCCTTTCCATGCTTGATGCTCCATAGAATCCATGAACACAACCTTTTGTTCTCTTCAACACATACTCTGCCTCCTCTGGTCCCGATATCGGACCTACCATACACACAAAAGAGAGAAGAGTTTACTCCAACAAAACTCTTACCAAACAGTAACTGCTGGATTCCAGAAAGTGTTACTATTACCTCCGTGGCAGAGCACTATGATGTCCGGGTTGAATCTACGAGCAGCATCTGCAATAGCTTGTACACGAACTACACTTTCTTCCATTGATACTGCAGTCTTCGCCCCAATATTTCCAGATGTAGTTAGACCCATGTGTGCTACTATTATATCAGCTCCTGCTTTCGCCATTTCTTCTCCTTCTTTTGGGTTGAAAGCATATGGAGTTGTCAACAGCCCCATCTTATGCGCCTCTGCAATCATCTCAACTTCCAGGCTGCAACATCAGACAAGTTTTGCCATTTCTTGGAGATTTAAACAACAATCTATAACATTCAAAATTGATTCTTCAAAGAGTCTTTTTGTAGCTTACCCATATCCCATTCCGGTCTCCTCAAGATTTTGTCTAAAATTACCATCAAATAGACCGACAGTTGGAAAGTTCTGGACCCCAACGAACCCAATGGACTCTAGCTGCTTCAGAAAATAGTCCATACGTCGAAATGGATCAGTTGCGCATACCCCTGCAAGAACAGGCACCTTCTTCACTACCTGCAAAATTGAATCAAGAGAGAATAAAATCCATGAAAATGGAAAGAGATGCTAGTTAGTGACCGGGGCATTGATGGGAATGAGTAAGAAACACAAACGGGTAAAACTTCATTAGCCATTTCAAGGACGACTGCATTGGCATCAGCAAATGGAAGTAATCCTGCTAAAGATCCTCTTCCAGCCATCCGGAAACGTCCAGAGTTGTATATCACTATCAAATCAATCCCACCAGCTTCCTCAAACTTTGCAGATATTCCCGTCCCAGCACCTCCCCCTATTATTGGTTTTCCCTTCTCTATTTGATCTCTCAGCCTTCCCAATATGCTCTGAGTTCGTTCCAGGGTTTCTGTAGCCAAAATCATGATTAAGTAAGCTTTTTTTAGTCCACACATGCAACTCGAAATACCAATTGGGAAGTAAAAACAAAACCTGGTTTTGCATTGGGGAAATTTTTAGGACTGTATGGAATCCTTTCAGGCTTAGGCACATCATGTCCATCATCAGTTGAAGCCGTTTCAGAGGAGGGTTTGATCTGTGCGTAGGTTTTAGGACAGATTTCAAGAAACGAAGCAACCAGTGCCTCGGCAAACTCAGGGTCATTGATGTGGTGAGAATATTTATTAACCTGTCAAAGAAGACAACCTTTCAATACCTAAAAAGCAGAAGCTTATTCAAGAAAGTGAAGACAAACAAGCTTATCCCTGCTATGTTTTACTTTGAATAAGGAAATATACCTGTCTGTCTTCATTTGCTTGAATAAGCCTTTGCAGTTCATTAATGAGAGTGCCACTGGCTTCTGGATCCCAGAAAGGCTTTCCTGGAGTATCCAGTGCAGAGACACCTCTCTCTGGGAGGCACACACGGACTTTTGATGTTGACTTGTTCAGTTTATCTGCAATAAACCTTGCAAACTTTTTGTTCTCTTCTACTGTTGTTCGGATGAGAGACACCTGCGAAAGACAGAAACAAACATACTCGCTATTACTTGGAAGAAAAAAAAAACAGAAGAAAAAACTCAATAGTTCAAAGAAGCACTTACTCACCTGCTCATTGTGAACATGAATGTTTCTAGTTTGGAAATGAGAAGGTATAGTATCTTTGCTACCAAAGTTGACCATGTCTAAGGCCCCTACACTTAAGACCAAAGGTATTCCTTTTTGAATGATAATATCGAAACGGGAACTATCGCATGCCATCACTCCTCCGACAACATGGTCAGCAACCTCGGTCGTTGTAACATCCATGACTCCCTGAATAAAGCCTTGCTTAACCAAAGATTCCATTGCTCTGCCACCGACACCAGTGGCATGAAACACAAGTGTCTCATAACCTTGCCTTGTTAAGATTTGTTGAACAGCATTAACACAGGGAGTTGTCACCCCAAACATAGTGATACCCACAGTACATTTGTCGTCCTTCTCACTAGTGGGGGAGCTAAGCCTCCCGAGAACCATACCCGCAAAAGAAGCGCCAGCATTTGAAAAGACAACCTTACTAACACTGTTGAGACCACAGACATCAACGACAGAAGGGATTAAAACCAAATCAGAGGTGCCAACATAAGGCTCGGTTTGACCACTGGCAACAGTGGAGACAATGACCTTTGGAACGCCGATGGGGAGAGACCTAAAAGCAGGAGACATGAGGGATGTCCCTCCACTTCCGCCAAGGCCAATAGCCCCAGCGAGAGAGTTATCCTCAAAAGAAAGCTTAAGAAAATTAGTAAGACATTGACTCATGATAGCAACTGCCTCGCCTCTATCGTCGGGGAGTTTCACAGTCTCGGGTGATGATCCATGAGAATAGGATGATAGAAGTTGATCTCTGTTAACAAATGCAAAGTCGGCAACCTCCTCCTTATGATGATGATCAGGACTGGCCGAAACATCCACAATCACAACCTCAACCTATTTAAACCAAACATTCAATCATTGATTAGCTTACACTCTCCTAATTAATCACAACCAACCAAAGCAAAGTAGTAGTAGTAGTAGAGTGTACCTTGGAAGCAGATGAGTTGTTGTTGGAGAAGGCTCCTATATTCGATCGCACTGATTTGGCAAGGAATCGTAGCTCATCGAGCTTCGTGTCCACTGTTCCCACACAGAACACTCGGTATCTTCCGCCTGGCATCGTCGGATTATAGAAGGAATACAAAAACAAACAAACAAACACACTTTTTTCTGGTGATTGCTCTCTCTCTCTCTCTCTCGATCCTGTTGTGTTGACTCAACAAGTAAAATGGCTATCTCAACACATCATCATATCGCTGTTATTGAATCGTGGCGTCGTCTGGTCACTACACATCAACACTCATACCTGTCTTCTTTTTCTTTTGTCGGTTGTTGGCATGGAGTTCCTGTTTTTTTACAGATTTGCCGCTATACATTTCCTTTATTACAACATTTTAGTCTACACTTTTATTATTACCCAACTCTTCCCGTTGGTTCATATATTCCATGATCCAACTCTTTTATTTATTTCGAATGTACCCTGTCTAAATATTGTTTATGACAAGTGAATCCCTCGATTTTCTCTATTTATAGAAATAATAGGCCCAAAGTTTGTTTCTTAAATGATTTGCATATTATGTGCCCTCTGGTTTTGACTTTTGATCTAGACAAACATCCCAAATGCCTTACTTTATCATATATATGTGATTGCTATGGTGGTGGAGTGAGAGACTACGTACACTGACAGATGTTGATCGGACCAAATTACATAGCAATTTAAATGAAACTGTTATTTTCTAATCAAGGAGACGACAAGAGTAACTGTCGTTTTGCTAGTACAACCAGCATGTTGGGACACATGGTATGCAAACTTGTTGAACAATGCGTCGATAATATCATCCCCGAAGTGCGCTACAAGCATCGATTCACTCACCGGTCTGATACACTTGGCTTCCTTTCCCCTGCTTTACATTCCTTGTGGTTACTACTCTGCCCGAGATCAAATCCATGAATCTCCAAGTCATTTATCTCAAATGAGCCTTCCTTTTCAATCACCTCTTTCACTTCTTCTTTACTTGGATCATAAAACGGCATGTTGAATGAATCAACCTTAGATGCACTCACAATACCCTATATTATACATCATCATATATAACAAGATCGAAGAATCTTTTACAAAATATATATATATATATATACGTTAGATTATTATATATATATGCTACCTCAAAGACTAGGCCGCACAGAGATTCGAATAACAGTGTCCAGAAGTGACAACAATCCCTATACAGTGGATCATCAAGAGTGTTTCTACCAATAAAAGTGAGAACCATTCGTCCATTACAAACCATCTCTTCATAGCGCATTTATATACCATCTAATAAATGGACTAAACCCTATAAAACTCTATTTTTTGGAGAAATAAGAACACCAAAGCTCTCAAACATCTTTAATCTTCTTACTATGCTAGTTCATGAAGCAGCTATGCATTAAAACAAAAATATTATTTTTTCTACTTTTTCTTGAAATATGTCGGTTAACCCATACGAAAAGACTGAATTTTCTAATAAATACTAACTCTACTATTTAGCCTATTTAGTGTTGTTTAAAAATACCTAACCATACTCCGAATTTATATATAGGTATGCTAAACATATTTGTATGGTATTTGGGCATCATTTCTAATTTCCCAATGAATAATTTATTTAAATTTTATATACCATCTAATAAATGAACTAACCCCTATAAAAACTTTATTTTCTGGAGAAATAGGAACACCTAAGCTCTCAAACCACTTTGATCTTCTTACTATGATAGTTCATGATGCAGATATGCATTAAAACAAAAATATTATTTTTTCTAATTTTTCTTGAGGTATGTAGGTCTACGAAAAGACTGAATTTTCTGATAAATACTAACTCTACTATTTAGCCTATTTAGTGTTGTTTAAAAATTCTTAACCACACTCCTAATTTGTATATATGTATGCTAAACATATTTTCATGGTATTTGGACACCATTTCTAATTTCCCAATGAATAATTTATTTAAACTTTATATACCATCTAATAAATGGACTAACCCCTATAAAACTCTATTATTTTGGNAATACTAACTCTACTATTTAGCCTATTTAGTGTTGTTTAAAAATTCTTAACCACACTCCTAATTTGTATATATGTATGCTAAACATATTTTCATGGTATTTGGACACCATTTCTAATTTCCCAATGAATAATTTATTTAAACTTTATATACCATCTAATAAATGGACTAACCCCTATAAAACTCTATTATTTTGGAGAATTAGGAACACCAAAGCTCTCAAAACTCTTTAATCTTCTTACTATGCTAGTTCATGATGCAGTTATGCATTAAAACAAAAATATTATTTTTTTGTAATTTTTCTTGAAAGATGTAGGTTAACCCCTACGAAAAGACTGAATTTTCTGATAAATACTAACTCTACTATTTAGCCTATTTAGTGTTGTTTAAAAATACCTAACAACACTCCGAATTTATATATATGTATGCTAAACATATTTTCATGGTTTTTGGGAATCATTTTTAATTCCCCAATGAATAACTTATTTAAACTTTATATACTATCTAATAAATGGACTAACCCTTATAAAAACTCTATTTTCTGGAGAAATAGGAACACCAAAGCTCTCAAACCTCTTTAATCTTCTTACTAAGCTAGTTCATGATGCAGCTATGCATTAAAACAAAAATATTATTTTTTCTAATTTTTCTTGAAGTATGTAGGTTAACCCCTACGAAAAGGCTGAATTTTCTGATTAATACTAACTCTACTATTTAGCCTATTTAGTGTTGTTTCAAAATACCTAACCACACTCCGAATTTATATATATGTATTCTAAACATATTTTCATGGTATTTGGGCACCATTTCTAATTTCCCAATGAATAATTTATTTAAACTTTATATACTGTCTAAAAAATTGACTAACCCTTATAAAACTCTATTTTTTGAGAAATAGGAACACCAAAGCTCTCAAACCTCTTTAATCTTTTTACTATGCTAGTTCATGATGCAGCTATGCATTAAAACAAAAATATTATTTATTTTCCAATTTTTCTTGAAATATGTAGGTTAACCCCTACGAAAAGGCAGAATTTTCTGATAAATACTAACTCTACTCTTTACCCTATTTAGTGTTGTTTAAAAATACCTAACGACACTCCAAATTTATATATATGTATGATAAACATATTTTCATGGTATTTGGGAATCATTTTTAATTCCCCAATGAATAACTTATTTAAACTTTATATACCATCTAAAAAATGGACTACCCCCTATAAAACTCAATTTTCTGGAGAAATAGGAACCCCTAAGCTCTCAAACCTCTTTGATCTTCTTACTATGCTAGTTCATGATGCAGCTATGCATTAAAACAAAAATAGTATCTTTTCTAAGTTTTCTTGAAATATGTAGGTTAACCCCTACGAAAAGACTGAAATTTTATGATAAATACTAACTCTACTATTTAGCTATTTAGTGTTTTTATAAATACCTAACTACACTACGAATTTATATATTTGTATGGTAAACTTATTTTTATGGTATTTGGGCACCATTTCTAATTTCCCAATGAATAATTTATTTAAACTTTATATACTATCTAATAAATGGACTAACCCCTATAAAACTCTATTTTTGGAGAAAATGAAACACGAAAGCTCTCAAACCTCTTTAATATTCTTACTATGCTAGTTCATGATGCAGCTATGCATTAAAAAAAATATTATTTTTTTCTAATTTTTCTTGAAATATGTAGTTAACCCCTACGAAAAGACTGAATTTTCTGATAAATACTAACTCTACTATTTAGCCTATTTAGTGTTGTTTAAAAATACTTAAACACACTCCGAATTTATATATATGTATGCTAAACATATTTTCATGGTATTTGGGAATCATTTCTAGTTCCCCAATAAATAATTTATTTAAACTTTATATACCATCTAATAAATGGACTAACGCCTATAAAACTCTATTTTCTGGAGAAATAGGAACACCAAAGCTCTCAAACCTCTTTAATCTTCTTACTATGTTAGTTCATGATGCACCTATGCATTAAAACAAAAATATTATTTTTTTTTCTAATTTTCTTGAAATATGTAGGTTAACCCCTACGAAAATACTGAATTTTCTGATAAATACTAACTCTACTATTTAGCCTATTTAGTGTAGTTTAATAATACCTAACCACACTCCGAATTTATATATATGTATGCTAAACATATTTGTATGGTATTTGGGCATCATTTCTAATTTTCCAATGAATAATTTATTTATATTATATATACATCCTAATAAATGGACTAACCCCTATAAAAACTCTATTTTCTGGAGAAATAGGAATACCAAAGCTCACAAACCTCTTTAATCTTCTTTCTATGTTAGTTCATGATGCACCTATGCATCAAAACAAATTTTTTTTTTTCTAATATTTCTTGAAATATGTAGGTTAACCCCTACGAAAAGACTCAATTTTCTGATAAATACTAACTCTACTATTTAGCCTATTTAGTGTAGTTTAAAAATACCTAACCACACTCCGAATTTATATATATGTATGCTAAACATATTTTTATTGTATTTGGGCATATTTTCTAATTTCCCAATGAATAATTTATTTAAATTTTATTTACCATCTATTAAATGGACTAACCCCCATAAAAACTCTATTTTCTGGAGAAATAGGAACACCTAAGCTCTCAAACCTCTTTGATGTTCTTACTATGCTAGTTCATGATGCAGCTATGCATTAAAACAAAAATATTATTTTTTCTTATTTTTCTTGAAGTATGTAGGTTAACCCCTACGAAAATACTGAATTTTTTGATAAATACTAACTCTACTATTTAGCTTATTTAGTGTTGTTTAAAGATTCTTAACCACACTCCTAATTTTTATATATGTATGCTAAACATATTTTCATAGTATTTGGGAATCATTTTTAATTCCCCAATGAATAACTTATTTAATCTTTATATACAATCTAATAAATGGACTAACCCCTATAAAAACTCTATTTTCTGGAGAAATAGGAACACCTAAGCTCTCAAACCTCTTTGATCTTCTTACTATGATAGTTCATGATGCAGCTATGCATTAAAACAAAAATATTTTTTTCTTATTTTTCTAGAAGTATGTCGGTTAACCCCTACGAAAATACTGAATTTTCAGATAAATACTAACTCTACTATTTTGCCTATTTAGTGTTGTTTAAAAATTCTTAACCACACTCCTAATTTGTATATATGTATGCTAAACATATTTTCATGGTATTTGGACACCATTTCTAATTTCCCAATGGATAATTTATTTATACTTTATATACCATCTAATAAATGGACTAACCCATATAAAACTCTATTATTTTGGAGAAATAGGAACACCAAAGCTCTCAAACCTCTTTAATCTTCTTACTATGCTAGTTCATGATGCAGTTTTGCATTAAAACAAAAATATTATTTTTTTTTGTAATTTTTCTTGAAATATGTAGGTTAACCCTTACGAAAAGACTGAATTTTCTAATAAATACTAACTCTACTATTTAGCCTATTAAGTGTTGGTTAAAAATACCTAACGACACTCCGAATTTATATATATGTATGCTAAACATATTTTCATGGTATTTGGGAATAATTTTTAATTCCCCAATGAATAACTTATTTAAACTTTATATACCATCTAATAAATGGACTAACCCCAATAAAAACTCTATTTTCTGGAGAAATAGGAACACCTAAGCTCTCAAACCTCTTTCATCTTCTTACTATGATAGTTCATGATGCAGCTATGCATTAAAACAAAAAAATTACTTTTCTAATTTTTCTTGAAGTATGTAGGTTAACCCCTACGAAAAGACTGAATTTTCTGATAAATACTAACTCTACTATTTAGCCGATTTAGTGTTGTTTAAAAATACCTAACGACACTCCGACTTTATATATATGTATGATAAACATATTTTCATGGTATTTGGACACCATTTCTAATTTCCCAAAGAATAATTTATTTAGACTTTATATGCCATCTAATAAATGGACTAACCCCTATAAAACTCTATTATTTTGGAGAAATAGGAACACCAAAGCTCTCAAACCTCTTTAATCTTATTACTATGCTAGTTCATGATGCAGTTATGCATTAAAACAAAAATATTATTTTTTTTGTAATTTTTCTTGAAATATGTAGGTTAACCCCTACGAAAAGACTGAATTTTCAGATAAATACTAACTCTACTATTTAGCCTATTTAGTGTTGTTTAAAAATACCTAACGACACTCCGACTTTATATATATGTATGATAAACA